ATGACTAGTATAAATCAATATTCTCATCTGTTTATGCTATCCCTCCTTTTAAGAAAAGCATTACAAGTTAACTAGAGGGTATGCAAGAAATGACTTGTGTACCTGTATTTCTGAAACGACAATTTTTGAAATTACAGACAATTTTAATCGTATATTCTTGTCTTTTTATGAAAACATCTACCTTTTCAGTTTACTATACATAAAAGACTAATATAACAAAAAGGATTTACATAACTCTACCTGGGCATATCGCATTTTTTGTAAACAAAATATTTGGGTTGTCCTGAAATGAAAGTAATTTGGTAAGATGTGGTATATGATGGAAATAAGAACAGCTGTGCCATGTCAGATCAGAAATCTCTGTAGTTCATTATCCTGTATCCAAGAGCAGCAGTAGTGCAGGAAAGAGTGAGAGAGTGAGCGCATAAAAATACATCTCTCATGTACTCCCCCATAACCTACCTGCAGCTCATGTAGCTGCTTATGTTTAGGTGTTTTTGTGTTTAACAGCCCTTGATGGATTTTTCTTCTTCTTCTTTCAACCTCTGTAAATTTTTAGCATCTGCAACATCCAATAGCAAGGTATTCCACACTTAAGCTGGGTTTGTGATACAGAAGTATATCCTGTTGTTTGTTTTGAATATGCTATTTCATGTGCTATTTCATAAGTTATTTAATACCCCCTCATTAGGAATGACCAGTTGTTCGCTATTCAGATTGTCAGTGCCACTTGGTTTCACAGATCTCTGTCCTGTTCCCCATCAGTTGTCTCTCTTTGAGGATGGAGAGACATTTAATCATTCCTCATTTAGAAGCTGTTCCATACAGCTTCCTTGTCACATCTTTGAACCTCTTCTAGCTTTTCTGTGTCCACTTTGTAGTGTGGGGACCAAAGCTGCACACAGTATCCCACATGAGGCACATGATGCAGCTAGGCTGTGGCATAGTGTTCCTTTCTTTGCCATTCCTAATATTTATTTTCCGTTTTTTGACTGATGCTGAACATTATATGTCTATCATAACTCCACAAACTCTTTCCTGAATACCAATAGCTTGTTAAACCATCCTTTTGTGTATGTGGAGTTAGGATTGCTTTTTCCCCCCCATGTTTATTACTTTCCCTTTGCTGTACATGTGCTGGTGCATTAGCAAGACTTAATACATGTATTGAAAGACCACTCACTTTTTAGTATAAATCCTGCCTATTCTCTGGTCATCACTCAGAATGTTATTTATATATTTATCTGGTAGTAAATTTTTCAGGTTCTAACCTGAAGGTTATGCTATGAAATATTCAAACTGGTAACATGGCAACTATTTTTTCGAACGCAGCTATCATTTTTTTCAGTGTTTTTGATATCTGACTGATGATTTTTAAGCATCCTGCATAGGTTTTCAGAATTGATTGACACCTGCTTTCTGAAAATCAGATCTCTTGAAGATATACATTAGCTATTGAAAATTATTAATCAATTTACGCCAAAACTGGAAATATGTCAGTTTATAGAGACAAATTATATGCAATAATGGAAATAAAGGAACTAATCTGAGGTTTTCATAAGGAATTGAGGCCCAGGTTTTTTTTTAAGTATTTAAATAATAAACTGCTTTTGTGAGTACTGGGATATGGCCACCTCAATTCCTTTTAAAATCTAATCATAAAATGAGTTTTCAGACTGTTAAGACTAACGATGGTCTTAAAATATGATGTAAACTTTGAAGTTACTTATCCAAGGGCAATTTTTTTGAAGTATTTTATTTTTATTTTTTTCTGTGGAGAGATAAAATCTATTTAAATACTTTTTTGCTAACCTATAACTGCCACAAAAACCAGTAAAATATGTGGATCAATTTATTTATTGTAGCTTTAAATAATTAAAAAGAAACAACTGAATGAAATTCCATTGCTTTCTGAGGTAATGAAAGTTGTATGATTTCCCAATAGAATACTTCAGAGGAAGTAGAGCAGCTGGTGATGCTCGCAAGGCGGCTTCAGGAAAGAGGCTTCTGTTTGAAAATAAGAAAATTGATGGCAAAGGCTGTGATTATTTTTTAAGGTAAAAGAAAAGCTTTGTTATTTCATTGGCCACTGACACACTGATGATCACAGGGCATAAAAAAAATGTTTAGCCTCTTTGCATAGGCGCAAAGGCATTGTAGTTTTGATATATGCCCTAACTCTATAAAGTGAACGTGTGGGCATGTGAAGGCAGACTTGATTAGATAGATCCATAAAAGGCATCTGTTTGGTTGCTGAATTAGTGCATGGGGCTATTGCTGCTGTCTGGTCAACCGTGCTGAAAAAATAAGAAAATAAAGCTGGAGCAGATGAAGAGAAAAACTACTGAGATGCTTAGAGAATGAACATTTTATCTTACAAAAACAAAAAGAATATGACTTGTTTAGTCTACCAAATTGGAAAAGAGAATTCTGTAAAATTCATACGGCAGGGAGAGAAGACTGTCCAATAATTTTGCATTTCATCTGCAATAACAGAAGTTGAAGAATAAAGACAGAGGTGGAAACTTAACAGATGGGCTGAAGGGAAGAAGAAAGTCAGGTAAATGTTGGGGGAGGAGTATACTAGCTTAAGGGAACAAATTATATGATGGGAAGAACAGAACTCATATCAAACTATTTGTATTTATTTTAGTACTTTTATCTGGTGCTTATGTAACTTTGTAATCTGGCAGTCCTATAAATATGCCGTGTTGAGCTCACTCAAGTGAGCATCAGTCTATTTTGTGTGGTTGGTATAGCTGATAAAAGTTGACCTGTACTGCCTGTGAAGTAATGTGCTTGGCTGAAGAATAGACAGTACATTTCTTTGGCAGAAGACAAGGGCCTACAGTGGGTGAGTTAACATGACTGACAGTTCTGTATATTTGGCTCAACATGTGCGCACTTGCCTTTCTCTCTTCAATAAATTTTTCTCAAAGATAATATTCTATCGAACAACTTCAATTACAAGCGCAGGTAAAAGTATTTGCTTAATTTTAGGATTTGTTTGTTTTCATTACCTAGTACAAGTAAGGGGTTTTTTTTAATTAGTTTATCTTGTTGAGTCTCATTATGAGTCTGATGTATGCCATTCTAAAAATATTTTGAAAAGTATATCTAAAAATACAATCTTTCATACTATTTATTTGAAGTATTTTAAGTAATTTATATTGTGTAATACTATGGCTTCACATACAGGAGCTCAGCAATTGGAAGCGTGTTCTCCATGCTAAACCTTGAAATTGGAAATGTGAACTCATAGTTTTTCCTTTAGACCAAGCTCCAATATTGTAATCTAGAGATTTAATGAATGAAGCACATGGTTGTCTTTTTTGATCCGCTGATTATGTCTTTCATTGTGCTCTTTAAGAAAGTAGATGGTGAAGATTAGTATTCCCAGTAGCAAAGAGCATGATAGAATAATACATAATACAAGGATGTTGAGAAGTAAGCAATATTAATCTTTTAAAGGTTATATATCTGCTACAGACAGCACACACAGCTGTGTGTGCATTTACCTTCCACAAGAGATTCTTCTGGGAGATTTTGATTAAGTTTTTTCTTTTTATAGTTTTGTATAATCATCAGTTTCAGTGCTTCATGATCTAAACTGAACTGAGCCCTCCCCTATCTGTATATGCATATTCTAAACAAGTGGTCCTCTTTAATAGCCTTATGTATCTGGGAACATTACACAAGTGTGATGTAAAGAGGGAACTTAAAATGCACAAGAAGTGCTTATCAAAGAAAAAACTGATTCAAAATATGAAGACCAGTAATAAAAGAGAAACTTAGCAGGATCTTCATAAAAACTAGAGATACTGTGTCCCAGCATTGTCCTTCCAAACTTTCTTTTGCTCTCTTCTATCTGATCTATATTTGCCTCACTGTGACTTACAGAATTTACTCTTTTTAGAAGCCTGTAGTACTGCTTCTAGTATTGGGGGTCTCATATTATTGCACAACTCTTTTTTTATGTTGTTTGTTTCAGTGGCAAAAGTCTGCCTGCTGAGTCCTTTAGATTTCCTAAATTTATTGAAAGTTATCTCTTGAAAGATGCTAGAAAATCAAAATTGGTTTCTCTCTACCTCCTGATGTTCTGTTTTTAGTCAGATTACAGGTTTCTTTTGGTAAACAGGTATCAGCTAATACAGTTAATATAAAAGCCTTAGATTTTATTTCTTAAAGTCAGATCTTGTTTATAGAAGCTGAGATGTAAGATGGTTGTCAGTTTGGATAATCCTGGAATGTCTGTTTGACTCCCTCCTGCCTTCAGTAAAGACCTTGTCTCCTGATCATCCCTGGTACATGCATGTTAAATTTTTTTCTGAGCTTCCTCCTAGAAGGAGCTACAGGATTCCTTTTGAGAGAAAATTTGGGCGTAGTTGACACTTGACACAGTTTTCTGCGGTATCTGGAGATGGGTCATGTCATATTTGACTCTTTCTACCCAAGACACAAGCCTGACACTCCCTCAGTTGCTGTACCTTAGAATTACCTCTCTGACCAGATGCAGATCTATGTGAATGCAGCCAGCCTATTCCAGAGGGAGTTAGCAGTGTGTGGATAAAAGCCAGGACCTACAACTTGTTCACGGGAGTGATCTAAGAGAATGAACTGTAATGGCACTGAATCAGGAGATTGTTCAATCTTACATTCCTGACTGGAGCAAGATGGCAATTACAATCATGAGTTTTCTTAATATATGCCTGTATATGAGATTGTTGCTAACAGAGTTATTTGAACTCAGGAGTGACTTTCTCCACTGACAAACATATCACATTTTAGGGTGCAGCTCAAGATCTAAGACCTAAATATATCCAGTGAATTGTAGCACAGATCTTTGTACACGTACACACACATGCACACACACATACATAAAACAAATGCTGTATCTGGCACACCAAAAAAAAGTATGATACTGGTTTGTTTTCTAACAAAATTATAAAAATTACTTTATGTATGTACAATGTTCCTAACTTAGTTTACTTTCCATTAAGGTCTTGGCATTGACAACAGGACATCTTTATCACAGAATAGTTCTTTTCCATGGGATGAAACACTTTTCAATATCTCCATGCATGCAGCAATTCGACATGGAAGATGGAAGTTACTAACTGGATATCCAGGTAATAAGTAACTCCTTTTAATACAACATGTCATATTTCCCTCCCCCTTGCCCCAATTTCATTCTGTTTAATAAATTATCATTTTTCTTATTTACTGTGCTAAGTCTTCAGGGTTTTGATCATGTGCAAGAATCCAGGAGGGGCACTTTTAAAATGCGTACAATGCATGCAAAAACCTTGCAACATCAAAGAAAATAAATGGCTTTCATTATAGTGGAAAAATTATCAAATAGAAAGTCCATGAAATTACCTGCTCTGAAATTAAGTGAAATGAAATTCTGAATCCTAAAGCTGAAGCTCATTGCCTTCCTTACAATGGTGCAGCTCCTTTGTACAGATAGGACTCTTGTAGAGATAGCCCTGGTCTAGAGAGGCTCTGGTGCTGGGCTAGAGTTAAGGAATGTAGGAACAACTGCTGGCCAGTGGCTTGACAGGCAACCTAGTGATTTTCTTGATTACAGTGTAACTCTGCCTCTCCACATCACCGCTCTGTATCTGAGAATTAACCCTTGGTCTGTTCCTGTTTCTGTAGGCTGCAGTCACTGGTTCCCTCCACCATCTTTGTTCAATGAGTCAATGATTCAGTCGTCTGATCCACCAACAAAGAGACTTTGGCTTTTTGATGTTGTTCATGATCCCGAGGAGAAAAATGAGTTGTCTGAAAGATATCCTAATGTGGTGAAAAAACTGCTCTCACGGCTTCAGTATTATTATAAACGTTCAGTGCCTGTGTTCTATCCTGAGGAGGATCCTCGCTGTGATCCAGCAGCAGCTGGGGTCTGGGGTCCTTGGGCATAATGCACAGCACTGCACTCTACAAAACCCACCTGGAGTGGAGTTTGATTTATGGACTCAGGGTCCTACTCCTGTATTTCTTACCTTGTTTTTTACAATCTTGTTGATTGTGAGTTCATTCCTTGAGTCATTCAGTCTTTCTTACTCTTAAAATATGGTGGAAATCTTATTTCAATCCTCCCCACTCTCTCCTTCTCAACAATTATACTTGAAATGTCGATAAAATTAGAAATCTGTTGTTTGAATATTCTTTGTCAGCAATTTGCCTCTAAAGTGGTGGTAGGATGTTGCTTTCCTCCCTGAAAGAGATTACTTCTGTTAAAAAGCTGCTATGAGTCATGGCAACAGGATCATTCAGAATTGTGTTGTGGAAGAAACTGATGTTTCATTTCATGCTTGCCCAGAAGACAAGCATCAGAAGCTGTTACATATCTGTAGAGAATAGAAGAAATACAGCAATTTACATAATTCTTACCTTTAACATGCACTTCTGTCCAGAAAAGAGAACAGTCAGAAATCTCCAAAAAAAACCAAAACTTCTAGTATGAAGCAAAATCCTTTATTCCTATTCACTGCTAACATATGAAATGGGGGTAGAGAAAGGTGGTTGACCTGAGGGCAGGCCTGCCACGTAGAGGGACCTTAACACACTGGAGAAATGGGTGAACAAAAACTGTGTGAAGTTCAACAAGAGCAGAGTCCTGCACTTGGGATGGCAAAACTCCACACAACAGTACAGGCTGGGCTCTGACTGGATAGACACCGTTGCTGTGGGAAAGAACCTGAGAGTCCTATTGGGCAATAAATTGAACAAGAATTACCATATGCCTTAGTGATGAAGGTGGCCGAGGACATATTGGTCCATATTAGCAAGAGCGTAGCCAGCACACTGAAGAAGTGATTATTCCCCTCTGTTCAGCACTGGAGCACTGCATCACATTTTGAGCTTCCCCATACAAGACAGACATTGACATACTGGAGTGAGTCTAGTGGAGAGCCATGGAAATGAGCACATGAGGAGAGGCTAAAGAAGTGAGTTAATTTAGCCTGGAGAAGAAAAGACAAACGAGAGATTGCTATCTTCAACAAGGTAAATGAAGGGCATAGAGAAGATGAAGTCAGACTCAGAGATGCACAAAGAGAAGACAAGAGGCAACAGACACAAGTTGCAACACAGGGAGTTCTAATTAGATATAAGGAAAGAAAAATCTCATTGTAAGGGTGCTGAAATACTGGAACAGATTGCCCAGTGAGGTTGTGGCATCCCCATCCTTGGAGACGTTCAAAATTTGACTGGAAAAGGCCCTGAGTAACCCAATCTTAATTCTGAAGTTGGATCTAATTTGCAGGTTGGCCTTGCTTTGGTACTGGTTGGGGGAACAACCAGATGGCCCGCAAAAGGCCCTTTCAGCCTGCATTATTCACTGATTCTGTGATGAACAAAGCCTTACTCTTACTTATTGCCTGCCTTTGTGGCGTACTCTTTCTGCTCAGATTGTTTTTTTATTATCACAGTAGCAACTATTTTCATCTTGAAATTGGCTCTGAGCCATGAGGAAACCAGGCCAAACAATTTCACTTGATTACTCACCAAATTGATGTGAGAAGATCAACCTACCAGCTCTCTTAATGTTAAAAATCTCTGGAGTCTGGCCAGAGTTCTGTCAGTGCTTTTCAATGTCTTTAGCCAAGTTCTCAGGCTGCAGAACTCTAGCTGTCATCCTCTCCAGAAAGCAGGAACCTAACTGCATGTTTTCAGGATCCAGGGCCAAGTCCTATGATTTGCACTAAGGCTTTGCGCATCTTTTCCCAGTTTTGTCTCCTTCAGGAGACATCTGCTAATTATTAGCAACAATTAGCAGACGGACTTATGAAAAGACTGTCACACTTGACAAAATTTTCTTTTTTTTTTTTTTAACTACAAAGATAAAGCACAGGAAAGATGGAACTTCAGGAAGCGAAAAACATGTTTTAAAATAAACAGAAATTCCTGCCTTCTGGTACAGCTGATTCTCCATGACACTCTTAAACCTAGCTTGCATCTCCCACCTTTGATGTGTTCCTACATATACTAGAATGGAAAACAACATTCTCTAAAAGCCTGTTCAGCTGTTTGTCTTTTTCCCAAAGTCTCTCATATTTTCCCCTCTCCTTTGTCACTTCTGCCTCTTTATGTTAGCATTTTTCCATTCCATTTCCTTCACTGTCCTCAGCCTTGAAGGTGGGTAAAGAAGAAAGATAGATTGGGAAAGAATACTTCTCCTATGTTGGACAAACATATATTCTCTATGGTTTGGTCTGATATGTCTTGAGAGCCTGTGTCAGACCAAGGTTCAATCCGTCTCCATCAGTGGTTGAAAGCAGATAGCTGCACAGGAGTAAAGGGCAAGCATATGTGATAAGTTCTGCAGATTGTCTTTCATTTTCTAACTGTGGCTCAGAGAAAAACTGAACCTCAGATATTTAACTGCTTTGTGTTTAGTAGTCCTCAGTGTAAATTCTTGGAAGAAGATTGTGTGAATACCACAGTCAGGAGTTCCACAGCCTAACTACACAATATGTAAAGAGTCACCTCTGTTTATGATCTGCTTCCAGGCAATTTCAGTTTTCACTGGTAAAATACGTATGCCATGACAGAAGTCCCAAATGTACCATGTTTCGCAACTTGCATATTAACCAGTATCTTTATAAAAATAAACAGAATTTGTATGTTCTGTAAAGGTAGTCTCCAAATTGATACATGACCATCTTTCCTTCCATTTCACAAAACTGTTTTCCACTTTTCTTTCTATTTTGGCTTCACAGCACAACAGCATTTCACTCTTAAGCGCCAAGAGGTTCATTAAGATAACTTTCTGAGACAAACTCTATTATGTGCTGACCACAGGAAGGGATCAAAAATGTAAGCAACAGAACCTTTTTATAAGCTATTGCATCACCTTGACAAAGCTCCCATCTTCCTTCAGTAGCTCCAGAAAACCGTTATTGCACTTCCCTTTCCTAATTGTCACGGTATATCTATTTTATACCAACATAATGATTTATGCTGGTTTATAACTTTTACCTTTTTAATACTGCAACATTAAGCTTCATATCCTCATTTTTTGTAACATATAAGTAATTATATAGAGTTTAGAATATGGGGTTCTGAAAGAGTGAGGTGTCACTATACCTCATGTAACTTTCAGTATTACTATTTCTGTATCTTATGCATTAATTATATAGCTGGACCTTCAAATGTCTTTTTGAAATAAATCATCCAAGTATCAGAGATTCCATCTATTTAGTTCCCCATTCCTGATTCATTCAGAATTTGCTGGTTAATTTATTCTTGCAATCAAAATGTAGATGGAGAGGTTGACAGCCATTCCGCAGCCCATAAGGGAAACAAGTCCAATCAATTTATATTATTATCACGCAAGAGGGTTGGGGTGTGTGTGTGTGTGTATTTAGAACTCTGTCTACACTAGTAGGTATGTAAGACTTGAAAGCTCACTGCTCTCAGTCAATAGCCCATATGACATTTTGGTTTATAAAAGCAATTACAGGATGTGGTTGCCATAATAACAAGAGAATGGACTCAGGAATGTGGGGCAGAGATGGGTCCCCAAGTCACTGTGTATCATTCATTGTTCTGCATTCTCATTACATGAGAAAGGATGTTGGCTTACCCACAAAAGTGGGAATTTTTGTCAATGATATTTTTAATACGAGTACTGTTTTTATTATGTTGCTGTCCAATTTCACGGAACAGAAAACAACATCAGCTAACTTGCAAAAACCCAGGTAATTAACGTGCTTGAGTTCTCCCATCAATGTCAACTCCTTGGCTAAAGTAAGAAAGGATCAAAGAACTTCTAGTTTTAATTTCAGAAGTAAGTAGAGCCATTACATGTTCTTTTTTCTCTCTGTCCTGCAATCTACATTTTATTATCTTGCTGATTCAAATCCATCTACCAGCAAGAGACTGTGGTAAGTCACTGTTTCCTGTGGTATAGAATTTATCTTCTATTTCCCCTTTTTCCTTAGCAAAGAGGTGTTGTATTTTGAAATTCATTATAAAAAATAAGTATATATAAAATAAGGGTTTTTTAAAATTCCTAATTGTTTTCCCTGGGTGGTCCTCCATAAAATATTTTAATTGAACTGGGTTAGGAAAAAAAACAGCTAGCTGTTGGCATCAGCAGAAAGTTGTATACCGCTTGATTGTTTCAAATTGGGAAGTACAAAATTCTTTATATGTTTTGTGGTTAAATGAGTAACATTCAAAAATGCAAGTATTTTGGACTCTCTAGATAACACTTCATTTCATCCCTTTCCAAGTTTTAAGATCAATCTTAATCTAGCAGATTTCTTAGAATTTCAAATTTGAAAGTCTTCATTTTTATGTTGTAAAAATAATTATAACTTTAGAAAAGTAACCATGTTTAGGAAGAATGCTCATACTGGCTATGCATTCTGTTGTTTACAGAAAGATGTACACAACACAAGGAAAGAATCCTTTTATAAGCAAAACAGGAGGTCTGAACCTGTTCTTGAATCCAAAGCCCAATATTCCTCCTGTAAGTAATTAGTTCAGAGAACATGGGCTTTCCTAGAGTTGACAAATAGGCCTTGCAGGAAAACCTGAGTTTAATCCTTTTCAAAATATCTAAACAGAAGAACCTAGAATTTAAACCCTTGAAGGCTGTGTGCAGTTGAAGATGCACTAGCAGTCCCTGTTGGCCTCTTGGAATTTGCCTCTTATCTCACTCTCTGGTGAAGTGGTTCAATAGCATAATGCTACTAGGGGTATTTCCAAAGCTCTTCCATATTTTCCTTAAGAAGCTTGAGGTTATGCAGAGAATCCTATTAGACCTGTGCCACCCCATTGCTACCCAGAAAGTCTTGATAGAAGGGGTAAACTAGTGAGAGAACCACTAATACCCACTGTGTGTGATGGAGCTTGGCACACCAAAATATGCAGTCTGTATGTGAAATCAGGTTTGTACTCCTAGGATTTGGGAAACCCAAGTGAGAAACAGGCACGTAACTTACAAACACAGGAAGCAAACAGTCTAAATGAAAAAAAAAATTAACAGTGAAGAAATATGTGACGATCCAAACTCTAACGACAGGTGTGGGCCATGCCTTAGCCTAGGAACACCAGATCATTTCCGAGATGTAACAGTTGTCAAGGCAGATTATTTTTTTCCCTGCCTGTCCGTTTCTTTGGCAGTTCCCTTGCAGGCCCCACTCAAACTAGACCCCAAGGCTGTATCTTTCTCATAACACTAGCCTTAACTCTTACACTAGGGGTGAGCTGAGCCATAGCCCAGCATCCTGAGCCAAGGCCCATGTGAAAGAGCTCCAAGGAGACAATTCTTTCTGAAGCCTACCCCCTCCTTTGGCATCACCTTTGCAGGTCCAGTCTCACTGGTCCCCAGGCTTTGTTTCTATACTAACTGTAACCCTAATACTAAGCCTAACTCTAAAACTAGATGTGAACTGAGCCTTAATCCAAGACCCAGGTTGTCGCTGAGATGCCAAAGGCATCAGAGAACACTTTTTGGTTCCAACCCTTCCTTTACCAGTCCCATTCCACCCCAGACACCTAGGCTTTGTCTTTCTCCTACCACTAACCCTAGCAGTAGGCTTTGTTACTCTCTAAACTTGAACACTAACCTTAACACTAGTCTTAGATCATGACCTCAGGCTGTAACCCTGAGGAAGGATTCCTTCCTGCTCAGGGAAGAATTCTTTTTGCAGCCCAAACCTTCACCATCCCTTGGCAACCCCTTTGCAGGACCCCACCACAACAGGACCCCTAGCCTTTGTCTCTCTTTGAACCCTAACCATGCCTGGGGCCTTAACCCTAGACAATGCCAGCCATGGCCCAGATGAAAGTTCTCATGGGAGAATTTTTTTGTAGCCCAAATCTGTCATTAGCAGCTCCCCCACAACTAGAATCCTATGCTTTATCTCTCTTCTAATCCTAACCTCAATGGCAAAACAAGTGTGACCACAGCACCGGCAACCAACTAGAGCACAATCCCATAGTACCTGAACAGGCTTGGGAGAAGTAGGTGCTAACAACAGGGCCCGTAGCCCCAAACAAGGAAAGGTGATGAGCCAGGTGCAGGGTCCGTCTCGGTGGTTCAGTCATGAGCAGCTGGAGTTGAGGCCAGAGACAGGGCTGGCTACAAAACAGGTCTGAGGCCCATTCAGGATACAGGACTGGAGATAGCACTATGAACAGGCACTATGACACAGCTCAAGCAAGGACCCAAGGCCCAAGCTGTTAGATGAAATTTTGCTCCTGGCCCCTGGGCAGATGGTGTAAGTGGAGACCCCAGGTGAGACTGGTCAGAACAGTTAAGTCCCTCGGGGCCCTCAGGACCCTAACAGCAGCCCCCCACAGTGAGGTGTGTCCTTCTGCTTCAGAGATCCTGGCTCAGAGGGGGACTTGCTGTGGGCTGTCTTGGAGCCATTTCAGGGGTCCTAGAGCCAGGGCATGGGAACAGTGTGCAGGAAACCTGGGGCCAGGCAGGGAGTTCAGGCAGCCGCTGAAGAGTCCTAGCCACATGTGTGTGTTGGGGATGGGGGAGGGGGTGGGGGGGTGACAAGCCTCCACTGAGACAATCCCTGCTGCACCAGGGGATGGGGATGGGATGAGAGGAACCCAAAGCCAGGCCAATCCAGAGGAGCCATGGGGCCAGACCCCATGCTGGACATTTCAGGGCTTGGCGGTGGTGGGAGGTGGGGTGGGAGTGTCCCAGGTGAAGCTAATCTGGGCAGTTAGGGCCCGTTAACAGGCTCGGGACTCTGACTGCCCTACCCTTTGCTTTTGCTATAGATATGGGCTGAGTCTGGAGGTTTCTTCCTATGGTGAAACATTTCTTTTGGTATTCCCTTTGCAACCTCACCCCAAGTGGGCTCCTAGGTTTTGTATCCTTCTAGCCCTAAATAAGGTGAGATTTGTAATGGGAAAGTAGTGCTTGTGCTAAGGGAAAGAAAAAAAACAGTTCTAAGATTGGGGAGTTTTTTAAGCTAACTTTTTGTTTGCTGACTGCTGTTTTCAAACTAACTGGCTTAACTCTTTCTGTTTGCAGTCTTTGTTGCTGCAGGCAAACAATGGATACTATTCAATTTCAGATGTGGTTGTTATATGGGAAGATCCTGGTTAAACAGACAACACAGGCAGTTACTTAGGGTTGCAAGCTAGTTTGGATATTCTGATTCCAGTGTTTTCAAAAGTATTCTTCTGGTGTTTCACAATGTGTGTATGAGCGCATCTACATAGAACAGAGCTGCTGCAGAGAGCAGTAAAAACATTTTGGTAGAGAGTAAGCAGAATCAGTCAGCCATCCAACCACGGATGGGTTCAGTAACAGCCCTTGTGATAATTGCATACTGTGGTTAGCTGAGGCAAACAGGATGGTGCATTAAGTTCTTGTTGTGTTAGTGTTCCCTCCTGAGAGTGTTATTTTGTGGGGTAGAGTGAAGAGATACTGGAAAGGTTGGTGGTATATCTGCTGCCAAGTTTCTAAAAATTGGCTTTTGGCTGCCATCATCAAAGTAGCTACCAGATGTTCATCCCCTAATTCTGGCTAAGCTCAATAGCAACAAAGGCAGCTATATTTTGTCTGTAGGACTATAGTTAGAAAAAGTACAGTCAGAATCACTAGATTTGGATCTAAGGAATGTAATGCTTATTTGGACGAGTCTCCAAAAGCCACAACAAGGTACTACACCAAAGCCACAGTTCTGTGCTGCTAGATTCTGGCATTCAGGACAGTAATAAAAATAAAGAAGCGTGTCTCGCTTTGTACTATGCGTTCTTATGATTTATTCAAGCAAACAAGGAGTTAGAACTCAGTGAATATGCATACAAACAAAGTAAGCTGTGTTCTGTATTCAGCAATGTTTGTTGAGTAGTTTTGGGCATAAAGCCCATGGTAATGAATGGAAAACTTTGATTAGGACATCTGCGGCCTACCCAAATCATTTTATGGGATCTAAAATTCTGCCTGAAATATCACTTGATGGCCCTATTAACATACCATGTCAGAACCTTATTTTCTTTGTTGTCTATGTTCTCCCAGAATGCTGATGAAGTAGAATACGATGGTTTTTTTGTAGGGAACTTGAACACAGAGAGCTGAAATGACTTATCCAAGGACATCTGAGCCCTTATGTTGCTTTGGTTTATCTGGCCTCACTGGGGAAAAAAGTTTAATGGGTCTCTGGACAATGAGAAGATGAGCATTGAGACCATCAAGTCGGAGGCTT